CCACCCCCAGCTGCCGGGCCTCCGGGGGGTCCCGGTCCCCCAGCCCACGAATTCACTGGGCCCTGGTCTCGTGCCGCGTGGGCGCTACCCCTCTGAGAACCCCCGCCCCCGCCCCCGCGCCCCGTTCTGCTGGGGCTGCTGAGAGCCCTGCCGGGAGCCTGGAGGGCGCCCTCCACACCCGGCCTGCGGGACAGACCCACAGCAGCGACCCATCCGGCAGGGGCTCTGTCCCGTCTTCGCCGCACAGAACGGGGGGGAGGCACAGAGGGCAGCCCGGGCGGCCAGAGGGACTCCCGGGCGGCTGAGGGCGCCGGCGGGGCCTGTGTGTCCCGGCGGCTGCTTGTGCTCCCACGTTCTCCCTCGACACTCCCGGCCGCCGCAGGCCCCTGAACCGCAGCGACGCTCAAAGGCACAAAGCCACGTGTCCCCATCCCCCCGCTAGGGTCTCCCGGGAAATGGCGCGGGAGCCTGGGTGCGCCCGGCCGAGGAGAACTGCAAGGCCAGTGGCCCGGGGCCCACGGCACCTCCCGCGTGTCCCCGCCCAGTGTCTGGGGGCCGCCATCGGCCCGGGCGGCTAGGACCCCAGGGCGCAGGCTGAGTGGACGGGGCCCAGGTAGCCCCACCCCTGCCTGAACCCCGGGAATGGCTTCTACCCGGGCCTGCTCCTCCGGCGCCCACGGTGTCCGCGTGGGCCGCACCCTGGGGACAAATGGAACTGTCCTCTGAGGGACTTGGGAAACCAAGTGCGCACAACAGGGTGGTCATGCCCAGGTGCTCGACCTGGAGCCCACGGAGCTCGGGGCGGCTGGTTTGCTGGGACTTCGGGGACGCACCCAGGACTCACAGTCTGTGGACGATGACCGTCTCCCTCCCTTTTCTTCGTCGGGCGCTGCCTTCCTGGCTGGCAGGGGCCTGCGGAGCGGAGGGACAGGGAGGCGGCGGCCTGGCTCCTCACGTCCATTCCGTGGCTGGGTGCCCCCCGGGAAGGCCCTCCGTCACCGCACAGCTGAGGGCCTCGGATGCCAAGCCGTCGCTGCCGTGCAAGCTGCGGCCCCGCCACCTGGGAGCCCCCGGGGTGGGGGGCAGGGCTTGGCCACCCCCTGGGCTGCCTGGGGACAGGGCGTCAGCCTCCGCCCGACCTTGCCCAGCCGGAGGTCCCGCCGGCTCAGCCTGCTGCCTCCACCCGGCCCAGCGGGCTGTTGGGGCGGGGGACCCCAGCACCCGCCGCTCTGTGCTGGGGCGGGGGAGAGGAAGAGGAGGAGGAGGAGGAGGAGGAGGAGGAGCTTTTGGGCTTGATCGAGCTTGTCAGGGAACAGCCTAGTGGAGACAGGAAATGTCGGGCATTTTCCATCAAGGTTCCTAATGGTCAGTATTTCAACTTGTTTGCTGCTCAGAACTCAGTGCATTTGTCTGATGGTCTTTCTTCTTGGGCAGCAGTGTTTTCAGGAAACCACCTCAGCACAGGTCTCGGTGTGGGGTGAGTCCAGCGGCTGGCGTACACTAGCTGCTCCACGAGCCCGGGCTGAACAGACGTCCTGGGACGCCATTCGCACGTTAAGGCCCAAGGAGAGGACAGTGAGCCTTTACTTTGTTGCTAAGCCTTGGCGGGTCCTTCTTCTCGTCTCCCGGGAGGGACACCCCCCTGCTGTGGGCAACGCGCTGGCCCTAAACTGCCTCCACCAGCCACCGCACGAGGCTCAGCTCCGCGGCGCATCCTGGCCTGCGCGCAGGCCCCGGCGTGTTTCTGGGCCCCTGGGCGCCGCACACACCACTCGCTGTCACCGTGAAGCAGCCAAGAGAGGGCTGACGAGGCTCCGGGGACCGTGGGGTGGCTGCCGGTGTCTCTGTTCTACAGACCAAGCTTCAGGCTGAGTTAAAAGACCGGGATGATATTTGTGCAGACACACGAATAACGACATTAAAATGAAAACAGTTGTCACCAAGGACGCATGGCGTGACTTCAGCAGCGCGTGGGCAGCGTGTGTGGGCTGCAGGCGGGCGCTTCCCCTGGAGCCGCGGGGACGAGCCGGGTGCGCGAGGCCGCTGGTGCCGCGAGGGGCTCCCACGGGGTCACGGGGGCCAGCCCGTCTGCAGCAGACGCGGCCCCCGTAGCCCCGGCAGCTCCGTGGCCGGTGCCACCAGAGGGGAGGCCTGGCCTCACTGGCCCGGGGCTCTTCTCGAATCCGCGGCTGGTGCCTGAGGAGGGGCCTGGTGGCCGGGACGGGGGCGCGTTGCATGGGGCGGCCTTCCGTCTGTGCCCCCATCTGCCTTTGGAATGCGTGAGGTTGCTTGGCAGACGATGCGGCCCCCAGCTGTGGTTCTCCCGGGCCGGTGGGCACAGTGGGTGCTGGCCAGGAGGGGGCGGCTGCGGGGCCCGCTGCAAGGACGCCGGGCACGGGACGCCAGGCGGCGCGTGCCCCACAGGCAGACAAGCAGGGGCCCGAGCCCGGGCGAGCGGCTGCCGGGAGGGTGGTTCTGAGCGTTTCAGAGCCCTGGCTGGGCCCCTCGTGCTTCCGGACACGGGGCGTGCCGCCCGGAGGGGCCGCGGCGGCCGCGGTGGCCTCTGAGGCCCAGCTCTGTCCTGCGGCCGGGTGGCCGGACCCACAGGCAACCCCACCAGCTTTCACACACGCCCCTCCCGCGGTGGCTGGGGCGCCAGGCCCCACGGGGGCACGGACTGGACAGGGAAGCGTCCCGAGCCCCACGCCGCTGTCCCCACAGGGCCAGGCCCGCAGCCCGCGCCTCCGGCCGCCCCCACCCACAGGCGACGCCCAGGCCTGCCCCTGCCCCCGACGAGCCGTGGGCGCACGGGGCCTGGCAGGCAGCACCGGCCGAACCCAGCGCCACGGTGGCGAACGGTGGCACGAGCAGCCCTTGCTCCCCGACGTGGCCGCGGGGCTCCCGGCTCCCGCGTCCCTTCCTGCCGCCGCCCCCGTGTCCGGCGCTCGGCTCTGCGGCTACCGCGGAGGACAAGGGACGGCTGCCTGCCTGTGGGGCAGGTTGGGGGCTCTGGCTCCCCAGGTCTAGTCATTCCTCTCGGTTGCAGGTGGAGCGGGAGGGCCTCGGGGAGCCGACACAGACCTCGCGGCCTCGACGTCACCAGGCTGAAGGGGTTTGAGTGAGCGACGTTTCTGATCATCTGGGAGCCGCGTGTGCACGCGGCTCCACGCTGGGGAGAGAGAAACCGAAACACCTGCTGGGTGCTGGCTGGTTTTTGTCCTTGTCGGACGGGAGCTCAGGGTCACATCTGCGATGCTCACTCCTGTCCTCGGCCCGGCTCGTGCTCCACCACGAGCCCCCGAGCACTTGGGGGACAGAGAGGGCAGGCGCCGGCTCTCGCGGAGACAGCAGACAAACAGCGGCTCGCGGAGGGTCGGGCCCCAGTGTCCCCCAGGCACCAGGCACCCGCGGCCGAGGGCCCCGCCCCTCAGGGCTGCAGCTTCCCAAGGGCGCCTAGCACCCTCTCTGCCGCGGGACGGCTGCGCGGGGGCCTGACGGCATCAGTCAGCAGGGCCTGCTGGCCACCGCGGGGCCACCCCCTGACTCGGGCACAAAGCAAGGACGACACTGGGCCCAGCCCTTCCCAGGAAGGCGGAGCCAGCGACCTCCTCGCAACCAAGCTGCCAGGCGGAGCAGCTCGGCGCACACGCCCCCATGCACGGCACAGGCTCTGTTCCTTTTGTGTTTCGCTGCTTCTTTGCGACAGTCAGGAAACACGGCTGATGACCTACTTTCCTTCGTAAGTTGTGCCAGGTGCTTGAAAGAACTTGAAATTTTAAACAAAAAGTAGCTCAGAGGATGAAAAAAATGAACAACTTTAATCTCTAGGGCACTGTGACCTAAAGGACAATGTGATTTGCTGAATCCTGGGGATCAGCTTCAGAAACATCTAAGGGGCGCAGGGACCAGGAGGCGCCCCAGGCTGGTCTCCCCCACCACCCCGTCCGGCACCTCGCGAGGACACGGTGGGCGCAGCGGAGCCGTGTGGAGGCCTCAGCGGGACTGCCGGCCGCGGGAGGGCCACCACGGGCTGCCGGCGCCTGCTCTGCACGCCTGTTTCCTGCCCACGACGTCGTGGGCTGAAAGCAGGGCTGAGCGTCTGGGGTGTGCAGGGCCTAGCGTGCGTCAGGGCGGCGGCGGCACGTTGCCAGGAGCCTCCACCTGCCTCCGTTCAGGGTGCGCACAGGCCTCGCCGGCCCCGCCTGGCACGAAGGACCCGCGGAGCGTCTCAGGTCTGGAGCTTGAACGACTGACCCAAATGAAAAACAGAAGCAAAAGAGCGACGTCTTCTCATTCCTGACAGCGGACTGGTTGTTTTTATTTGGCAACACACCACGAACGGGCACTCAGACCGCTGCCCCTGCCCAGGACGGAGATGCCCAGCTGGCGGGGGTCTGTGTGGGGCGGGTGGGGGTGCTGTGGCCTGTGAGCAGAGTGGTGACCACAAGGCTGGACTCTCCACGCTCCCGCGGAAAGCCCGGACCTTGCAACATTTGGCATTTTTGACAAATTAAATGAGGAGCCCAACCATCCAGAGCGGTGTCTGCGTCGGAAACGCTGACGAGAGCCCCAGGGGTCAAGCCTGGGCCGCCGCCAGGGGGCCGCCGGCGCTGTGACGCCCTGCATCGGCTCAGGTGGGACCGGTTCGCGGGCAGGGGTCAGGGGACACTCCTGCTGGTGGCCGCAGGGCTCTCTTCAAGCGCACCGGCTGCCCCTCCCCGGTGCAGGGCAGCGTCTTCTCCCCAAGACCATGCTGAGGGGTCTCCACACGTACAGCCCCCGACCAAAGATGGGCCTCTGAGGGGTGAAGCCGCACGGACGCCGGTGGCCGTGGCTGCCTCTCCTAAAGGGCCTCCCGCTCCAGCCGCTGCCGCTGGGGGAGGGGGGGCGGCAAACACCACGCAGCTTTCCTCACGTCCGTGCCCGCCAGTGACGGGAAACTCAGTGCGTCATCACGTGCCTTGAGGGCACCTGAGCGAGGTGTGCTGGCTTCACGTCCACACCCAAGATTAAAAGAATATTCTCTCTGCAGCCGCAAGCAGGTCGGGTCCGGCAGAGGCGTCAGTTGGACCACCTGGAACACAAGCAACGGACTGAGGGCCAGGCCAAGGCCATGAGGGCCGCCCCCGCCGCTGCCCCGAGAAGGGGCGGCGCCGCCAGCCGCAGCTCCCTGACCGCACGCAGTCCTGCCTGGGGGGTCTGGGGGCCCGAGTCGCAGCAGCTGGTGCTTCAGTCACAAAGCCCCCGAAGGCTCCTCTCCACTTCCCCCCCCCCCCCGCCGCGTTTCCCGCCCACGCGCACGGGGCTGGATCCCTAACCCGCCAGAGGCCGGGCTCCCCCGGGCCTGTCTGGCCCCCCATGGCCCCGGGGCTGCGCCCGCTTCTCCGAACTCTGCCATCCGCCCGTGTCCTCTCTTCTCTAGGACGCGGCCTCGGGGGCAGGGCAGGGCCCAGCGCCAGCGCCCCCAGGGACCCGGCTCCACGCCCACCGGGCACGCGCCCAGTCCCCTTAAGGCCTGACTTTTCGACATGAGGGGACACTCCAGAGTCACCAGGCATTGGAGGGAAGAGACACGGGCCTGAACACACACGAACACACACACAGGAAAAGAAACCCGGAGGAACAGTCCTCGAAGGAAGAAACCCAGACACGGCCGGTGCCACTGACTCCCTCACTAACAGGAAGCCTGGCAACTGCGCTCTGAGTGCTTTCTGAGCTCCTGGAGTCCAAAACCAGCCACACTAAGGAAATGAGAGAACAGGGAACATTGGACCGAGGGCTTTTCCCTCGAAGTACAGTGAAAAGTCAAACAGGCGGTGTATCTGAAGGGAGGGGAGAAGCCACCAGGGACCCCGGCAAAGCCTCCCAGGGCAGGTGAGCCCCGAGCCCCCTCCCTGGGCAGACAGGCACCTGGGGCTGCGGGGCGGGGGCTGCGGGTGGGGGGTGGGTGTCGGCGGTGGGTGGGGGAGGCCTTCAGCTTTGCTCGCCCCGCGGGGCCTCTCCGGGAGCTCTGGCTCGGGACGCGGGCTGCCTTGCCCATCGCTGGCCGCAGAGGCAGACTCAGCCTGCGGAGGTCGCCGACCAAAGGCTGAAGGATGATTTCTGACGGGCCTTCGGGGACGAGGCGGCGGAGAGGCCGCCCCCTCGGGGCTCCAGCAGCCGCCCCGGGACACAGGTGCCGTGGCTGCCACGGGCCTGCGGGGCGGCGGCCGAGCGCCGGGGGCGGGGGGGGGAGCGAGCGGCGCGGCTCCCCGCCCCCCGCCCCGAGCCGACCCCTCCGCTGCCGGCGCCGGAGCCGCTGGCCTCTCCTCCTCCGCCCTCCACGCCCTGCCCAGGAAGTTTTGAATGTAGCACCTTTATTATTATTTCAGAAGTAATTTTGCTCATCTCCTCAGTAGATGCTTAGAATGGTGGGCTAATTTCCAAGTGGAAACATTTTTCCTTTTAACTTGTTGGTTTTCAAAGTTACTTTCTTCTGGACAGAAAATACGGCTCTGTGATTTCTACTTTTCACTAAACTGGTTGAGATTCACTTGGATGCCTAACACATGAATACATTCTCAAACTGTCAGTATGAGTTTGAAAAAAACATAAATAAAAGCCCATACATTGTTCTGTATGTTTCTACGACACTTCTCAGACTGACTCAAATGGACGTCTCTAGTTTTGGTCGTCTTGATCTGCTCATCTCTGGGAGAGAGGTGTGTTAAATACACTATCATTGGGTCTGTTTCTCCTTGTATTTTGATAATTAATTTTTAAATTATAATTTTGACTCACGACACCGGGTGCAGACAGAGTATGACAGACTTACACCCACCCACCCACCCACCCGTCCGTTGTCATTATCTGTCTTCTCTCCTCCTTTCCTTCCTTTCGGTGCATGTCCTTACATTTCACACATACACCTTTTAAATAACAAACCTGGATTTATTGAAAATCTATCTCTGTCTCACAAGATAACAAAGTTAGCCTTTACTTTTCTTTTTAATATTATTCCCCAGAATCACACATCATTTTCTTTGTAATAATCTGGTTTCAGTCTTCAGATTTTTTGCTTCTTTGTTTTTTACAGTTCATAAATGTCTATGTGTTTTACTAGCCTCTTTGTTCAACACGGCTTCCTAGAGACCACGCATTCTGGTTAGACACACTCATTTTGCTAGAGCACACCCATTTTCTTTTGGAAGGGATCTGTAGATCGAAGTTTTTCAATTCCTGCAAACGTGTTAACTTTTCCTTACACTAGAACGCTGATTTGGCTATAAATGATTCTGGCCTCCAAGTCATTTTCTGTAGTGGAAAGCAAAGAAACGTGGCTGCTTAAGGGACGTAGGTCCCCAGGGCTCTGGGAGAGGGCAGCGATGACCGTCCAGGGGACAGAGCCGACGTCTCAGAAGGGGCTGAGCCGGAGCCGCGTCACCGCGCGGGCGCTGGGGGCCTCGGGGCCAGCTGGAGCTGCCGATGTGGCAGAGCCCCCCCGCGACAGTGGCGGGGTGCACGGTCTTCTCGCACATGCATGGGAACACCCGGGCAGGGTGCGTGAGGCGCGCTGGGTAAGCCTTAAAGAGCTAAGAAGACTGAAATCCCTGCAGCATATTCTCTGATCACAGTGCTATGCAACTAGACGAGAAACACTGGAAGTTTCACAAATCAGTGGGAATGAAAAACACCCTTGAACAACTAATGGGTCAAGGAAGAAATCAAAAAGGAAATAAAAAAGTGTGTTTAAACAAACAAAAAGGGAAACACAACATACAAAAAGCCCAGGAGATGTAGTTCTAAGAGGGGTGTTTGCAGCAGTAAGTACCCACATCCAGAAAAAAGGACAATGTCACACACACAACCTCAAGGAACAAGAAGGAGAGACTGAGCCCAAAGCCAGCAGAGAGCAGGAGACAACCAAGCTGAGAACAGGAATCAGTAGCACACGGACAACAGAGACAATAAAAAAAATCAAGAAAACTAAGCTGGTTTTTCAACAAGACAAGCAAAATTGACGAACCTTTGACTTTGTCAAAATTCACAAAACCAACCAAGAGAAAAAGAGAGAAGGCTCAAACAAATTACAAACAAAAACGGAGACATTACAAATACTATCAACAATACAAGGCAAAGAGAGTACGAAGGACCGCAGCACACCAGCAACTGGACCACCTGGGAGCAGTGGAGACATTCCTGGAGACGCACACGCTCCCAGGCTGCGACACGAGGAAACAGTCTGAACAGGCCAGTCAGTGAGGAAGGGGCTCGAACCAGCAACCCCAAATCCCCCAGGACCAGATGGTTTCCCTGGGGGAATTCTACCAAACGTTAAAAAAAGAATCACTGCCGAACCTTCTCAAAGTCTTCCCAAAAACTCAAGGGGAAGGAACACTTCCCAACTCATTTTATTACAAAGCCAGCATCACCCTGACACCAAGACCAGACAAGGACACTACCAAGGAAAGGACGTCACAGGCCAAGATCCCCGACAATCGGTCCCCGCACCCCAAACCCCATGGCACAGCAGAGGCCCCCCCCACAGCCTCCCTGCTCACGCCCCGGGGGCCAGGGGCTCAGCACGTGCAAACCCAGGTGCTACACAAGCCCATCGCCAAAGCGGAGGGTTGAGAGCGCACTGGCATCGCAGCAGGTGTGGAAAAAGCAGGGGCAAAACTCAACCTCCTTCACAAAGACCCCAGTGTATTGGTAGGCGATGTGTTTCCTAAATAATCGAGGAAATGTGAAATTGTATTTAATTTCAAGTACTAAGTATATTGTTTTATTTTCATTTTAAAAATAAGATAGGGGACTTTCATCAGAAGACCTGACAGCAAAAATTTATAAAGTATCAAGATTCCAAAACACACCCCGCGCGGGTTCCCCACGCGGAGAAGCCGGCACCCACGCGGGCGAGGAGCTGCTCGCCGAACCCCAGCGGCGCGCCGGTGCACCAGGGCCGAGGCGTCTGGGGAAAGCGGCCATCGTGGGGGCGGCCGGGGGGGCCGAAGGAGCAGAAACTTACTTCCAAGTGGCACAAATAAGCAGCAAAGACATGAAACTTACAGAGGTAGCAGTGTCTCAAACGAGCAGAAATGGAAGGAATGGGATTTTAGGGGTTTAAATTGAAAACAGGAGTCCTAAGAGGAATGAAGTAGAAAGCACGTCTAAAACTGGGAATAAGGCTGCAGGCCCCGCAGGCGGCGCGGGACAGCGGTCCGGTGTGCGGCGGCCGTCAGGGCGCGGGGCTGGGAGGCCGTCTCGCCGGGGCCCGGAGGTGTTGCGGCTGCCCCCTCTCCCGAAAGGGCCGGGCAGGCCCCTCACCGAGCACAGGTGCCCTCGCTGGGTGGGCGACTGCCCTCCCAGGCACGTGGCCCAGACGCTGGGCAGTCCCCGCCAGCTCCCCGGGATGGGGGACGAAGCCTGCCAGGAAGGGCCTGCCTCTGCCTTCCAATCGCTATCAATTCTCCAGAGGTTACTAGGCTGACAGCTTCAATTCTTGGGTTGCCTGGCGATCCTTCGACGTAAAGGAGCACCAGGAACCTGCCTTCGCTGTGCTGTTGGGGTAAGAGCGCTGCCCCCCTCCCCCCACCCCTGCCCCGGGCCTGTCCGCCCATGCGCAGCGGCAAAAACCCTGAGCTGGAGCCACACGTGGGGACATCACGCACCCAGCCAGGAGGCGCCCCAGGTCGTGAGCCCCACACAGAGCCCCCGCGGAGCGTGCTCCCCCCGAGGAGGGGGAAGGGGCTTCTTCTTTTTCTGTGCAGATGCTCCCGGGGACCAGAGGAGATGCGGCTGGAACGGGTGGCGAGCGCCGGCCCTGGGAGTGCTGCGCCGCGGGGCGTCGTGCTTGCTGGCCCGGCGGCCTGGGCGGGCGCCCGCTGCCCGCGCGGCATCAAGGTGGCGAGGCCCCTGCTCACGGGGAAACCCTCCTTCCCTCGGGGACTCTGGGGCGGGGGCTGGAAGGGAAGTGTTAACGGTGACAGATTGCAGCTGTGGGGATGGAGCAACCTCTGGAAAGGGGTCAATAAAGTCTTTTAAAATGGGATGCGAGAGGAGGGAGAAGTCACTGAAAGGATGTTTTCCTTCTGCGGGAAGCTGGCCCGGACCCCGAGGCAGCCCTCTCCTTCCTGACGAGCCCGCAGGGGGCTCTGGTGCCGCTGAGGGAGGGACACACGGGGTCCCAAGGCCAGACTCCTCGTCTGTCCCCTGTCCACGCTTTTTCTGCAGAAAGCAGACTCTTCTCGAAACCACGTGAACATAGGTACACGTCGGTAGGATCGAACATCTGAACTCTGTTCAGGGCTAGCACCTGACGCGGAGGCGCGTCGGGGCGGCGTGTTTCACGCGGTCGCAGGCGAGCTGACCTGCTCCGGTCACTCACCCGGAAGATGGTGCGTGTCTTCTCCAGGGGTCAGGCTCCTGCTGCCTGTTTCCTGCACCAAATGGACAGGAAAACAAAGCTAAGAACGAAACCTGCCACACACCACGCAGCAGAGCCCGTCCCGCCCCGGCTGTGGCCGCCTGGCACTGGGTTCTGTCCCACGATTGTGCCGCTGCAGCAGGAAGCAATTAATCGGGGGCCGAACTGGGAGTGGAACCACTCCTGACTCCAGCCCCACCGCCTGCCAAGGACACTTGGGAACAGAGCCTCGCAGGCAGGTGGCCCTGGGGACATGGGGCCAAGCACGAGACAGGCAGCGCGGGCTCCTCCTGCAGCCGGGCCCAGGGCTCCTGGGCGGCCGGGCAGCTGCCGGGGCTGCCCCACGAGGCAAAAAGGGGATCGGTTTCCACATCCGACAACAGCACTTTCCCCACAGAAATCCATCAGGCTTCTCTGCCTGGGGGGGTGTCGCCCACCCTCTGGGCAGCACCCTGTGGCTCACACCTCTCCCAAGCGGGGGCTCCGGGTGAGGCCCCACCCTTGCCATCCCGGATGATCAGAGGCAGTTTTACAACAGAGAAATCGGGAGAAATCACAGGCCAATTGGTGGCTGCCGCCTGAGGAATTTCCCACCTCCTCTGTCACCCCCAGCGCGAAGGGGCTCACCCAGCTGCGGGGCATTTTAAAGCTGGGGGAGCTTTGATGCTCTCACCTTCCCGCCCCTCCCGGCCCAGCCCAGGGCTCCCCAGCAAGGAGGGCGGACCCCCCGCCGGGCCCCCCAGCCCTGGGGCAGCGGGGGACACTCACTCAAAGAGGCACTTTGAGTTTTTCATTCAGGAACAGAGGCATTTGCCTGTTACCTTCTGTCCTGAAAATAGTGACAACGTTTTATTGGAATACTTTAAAATCTCCGAAAATACTAAAATGGGCGTTCAGAGGTAGACAAAACCCAGCAAAAAACGCACTGGCCAAATAAAGATGACATACTCCAATCACAGTAATTAAAACAGTGGACTACTTGACCTGAAAAACTGTTCCATTCGTATTAAAGGAAAGGACTATGTGTGTGCATGTAAAACACACAGTTCACACAAAACACCTGAAATCAGAAAACCTGTGCGCGCTGCCGGCACCCGTGTCTCCCCGGCCGCGCTCCATCGCCGACACTGGGGCCGCATGGGGGCCGCGGGGCAGCGTTCGCCCAGGCCCCCCTGCCGTTGCCGGTCCGTTCTGCCCAGGGACCCAGGGGTGTGTGCTGGGTCCCCTGACGTGCACACCCGCTCGGCCGGGATGGACACAACCTAGGCAGGGGGCGCAGACGCGGAGGTGGGGGCGGGGAAGCAGCCGGGGCGCCGGCAAGAATGGATGTGCGCCTGCTGCAGCCACACCCGGCCAGGCCCTCCTGGCCCCCGGTTCACCCGGGGAAGGCGGCCGCCCTCAGTGAGGAGCCTGGCACCGTGCCCAAGCAATCGCGCCGGCCCGCCCGCCGCTGTGTGTCCAGGGCTGCAGGACCTTGTCGCACGGCCAAGCCCTGGGGGCAGGCGTGTCCAGGGCCCCCAGGGCAGCAGACGAACCCACGTGACAACCGCGCTGCAGCGGGGCGCGGCGGCGAAGGCACCGAGCAGCGTGCACCCCCCCGGCCCCGCCGGTGGCTCCTGCGGGGAGCGCGGCCGCTCCTCACGGGAAGCAGGCGTGAGGCGGTGGCGGGTGCCGGGCCCCGGCGCAGCTCTGCACTCGAGCACAAGAGCCCAGTGACGCGGGGTGACTGGAAGCCGCCTGCTGCCTGCACTGCACGGGGGCCACGAGAGGGTGGACGGCACTGGGCCCCATCGGTCAGGCCCTCTGGGGGCTCCCGGCACCCTGGGCACAGCTGGCGGGCCTTTCAAAACTATTCATGAAACTGGTCTATGCTGAGCCATGCGGCAGACTCCCAACACAGGCGTCGTGGGCTGATCCAGCGGCGAGAGGAAGCGGCCAGCCTCGCGCCCAGCGCCCATGGAGGCCCCCGACACCCAGACTCGGGGGGCCGCCTGCGGCGCTGCAGGTGCAAAGCCGGGAGCGCCCGTGACTCGGCAGGCCTTCTGTGAGACCCCTCGGCGTACAGGGTTTGCAAAAGTGAATAAAATGATGAGTCACATCAAATTAAAGGAGTTTTTGTGCTTGAAAGGGTACACTGAAAACTGTCAGGTCAGTTAAAAGCCTGCAGAGTTCAACTCCCGAGTGTAAGGACTGTGAGATCAAGGACAGGCGTGAGGCTTTCTGCTCACGTTTGGCGTCTGGCACTGAAGCCAGGTGCCCGCGCACGTGGGCGACGCAGGCCCGGCCGGGCTGCCTCTCGGCCCAGCACCGGGCCATGGGGAGCTCCCAGATGCCCTCCCACGAGGCCGCCCCCCCTCGAGCTGTGGCTCCATGAGAAGGCGCGCGGGGCCTTCACGAGGGCCTGGAGCGCACTGCGGGGGGAGCAGACTGGCCTCGGGCCGGACTTTGGCCGGAGGACCCGGGTGTTGACTTGTGAACGTGCCAGCGCCCCCGTGCGGGCAGCGCCCTCTTACCTGGGCCCTGGTCTCCCCAGTGCTGTCCTTGGCCGGATCGGCTGTGCCCAGAGCTGGTCCTGCGGGAGCCGGGCCCCTGTCTTCCCCATCTCCCTGTGGGGATGCATGGTCAGCGTGTCAGCAGGCCACCTGATGCCGGACCCCAAGGGGCACGTCACGTCTCAAAGGCTGGCCGTTTCCGACCGTCGAAGGGGAAGCCGTGGCGGTGCAGACGCAGGCGCCCTGTGCCAGGGCTGGGTGGTGGGGCGGGCGGGGGGTGCCGCCTGCGAGCACGTGTCCCGGGACCTGTGCTGGGGACGGGGGCGGACTGAGGACACGGGGTGCTCCGGGGGTCCTTCAGGCAGGGCCCTGGGTCCGTGCTGGCGGACTCGGCCCTGGGGCCGGGGTCCTGGCCGGCACACCCGCCCGTGGGCGGGGCTTTGTGCGCCAGCCCCGTTCTCCACGCACTGACCTCGCACGCACTTCTTTCCCTTGGACTCGCCCCCCAGCGCCCATCCCGACACCCCCCCCCCCCCCCGTGTCTCTGCTGGAATTCAACACAGAAGGTCTGACTGCGTCCTACTGACGCGTGTCTTTCAGAGCACCCTGACGCCTCACGGCGACCCACAAAAAGAGGAGGTGCCGCTGCAGCGAGCCAGGCTCTGCCCGCACTGTGGAGGGCGGGGGGTTCCCCAGCGGCTCACCTACCCCCGCCCGGCTGTGGGCCGGCGCTGCCAGTGGTGCCGGGAGGCAGGCCACGGGCACACAGGGCTCAGGCCCCGTGAGCAGGAGGTGGCAAGGCCTGGCCCGGTACGTGCGGGTGCAGGGGGGCTGGGCGCAGGCTGAGTCAGTGCAGGCGGGCACACGCGTGACATCCCTGGTGTTAGGGCACCACCCGCCGCACACGCGGGCCTCCGCGGCGGAGGGGGTCAGGGCACAGCCCTGGCGGCCGCCGGCACCGCGCCTGGAGGCGCTCGCTGGGGGCGGCCTGCAGGCCTGGGCCCACAGCAGGCTCGGGCTGCGCCCTGACCCTGCTGCCTGCCGCCCGCGAGAGGCAGTGAGCCCTGGAGAAGTGGGGAGCGGGGAGGGCGCCTGCTCTGCCCACGCCGTCGGGGGTCCCTTCACTCGCCCAGACGCTGCCCCGTGGCCGGACCCACACGGCGCCCGGCAGGAGCCGCACGCGTCCCTGGTGGTGTCCTGACCTCGTGCCGTGACGGCTCTCGGGATGCTCGCTGCAGGGCTGACGCCACGCAGAACTCTGAGGACAGCGGGGGGTAAAAAGCCGGGCCGAGCAAGACAGAGAACGGGGCCGCTGCAGTTACAGACGCGGACCCTAAGCCAGCGAGGCCGTGAGGTGATCACTAAAATAAGGCCGCTGAGGAGCAAGCTGAGGAGCAAGCTGTGGCGACCTCGCTGGCCGACGCAGGAGGCTCCCTGACCTACCACACCAGGTGAAAAACGAAACTTCTCCAGCCCAGGCTGGTGCGGCTCAGCGGACTGAGTGCCCGCCTGCGAACCACAGGGAGGCGGGTTCAGTTCCCAGTCGGGGCACAGGCCTGGGTTATGGGCCAGGCCCCCAGTGGGGCGTGCGCAAGGGCAACCACACAGGGATGGTTCCCTCCCTCCCTCTCTTCCTCTCCCTTTGGAAATAAATAAAATCTTAAGAAAAAACAACCCAAAAAACCATTAAAAACACAAACAAAAACTTCTCCGTGTGGTCCCGGGCCCCGCACCATGGCTGGGGGAGGCGTAACGTGACCCGTGTCCTAGAAAGCAAGCGGGTAGCACGTGTCAGAAGCCGGGTCACGTTCTGAGCCACAGGCCTGTGAACCGGCGCCCCCCACTTTAAGGAGGTGAGGCACGGAAAGCCGCGTGTACGCTGAGAGGAGGGGACAGCCACGGAGCCAGCGGCGGGGGCCCGCGAGCCACAGGGGATGGCAGGGCTGCGAGCCCGCGTTTCAGAGCGGTGTTCTGTGCCCTGATCGGGCTGCACGTGAGGTGCCGCCTGGAAATCAGGCACAGAGATGCGCCGGGGGCGGCCGCCAGGGCCAATGCGCAGGACACGCTGCCTCATCCACCCACGCCCTCTCCACGCGGCACCGCGGGAGGCTGCTGTGTGTCATTTCTAATTATTTTCTGTGTTCTCGTTTCTTGAGAACACATTCACTACGAGGAAAGCGAACCCACACACACGGCGAGCACGTGCCCCGGCGGCGCCCAACCCTCAGGGGACGGGGATGCCCCGAAACACGTTTTCTTTCTTTTTTTAAAAAAGGATTTTATTTACTTATTTCCACAGGGAGGGGAAAGGAGGGAGAAAGAGAGGGAGAGACACAGCCATGCGTGGCCGTCTCTTGCGCACCCCCCACTGGGGACCCGGCCTGCACCCCCAGCCTGTGCCCTGGCTGGGAATCGGACCTGAGAGCCTTGGCTCACAGGCCGGCGCGCAGCCCACGGAGCCGCACCCGCCGAGAGACATTCTCCTGATAGAGCTGAGGGGAAACGGGGGACGCAGCCGGGCAGCAGCCGGCCACTCACACTGTTTCACTGCTCGCCACGGACCCCCCGCCCCTCCGCCGAGCCCCAGCTGCCCACCTGTGGGGTGCGGCCGCCAGAGCTGCCGGCTGACGATGCGCCGGTCCTCCGTCAGGCAGGCCTTGCACACGACAGATTTCAGATGGTGGAACTGGGTGAGCCGAGACCTCTGCAAACGAACCAGTGCCGGACGTAAAGACTGCCGGGACACGCCAGGGGACGGTCCCCACGGGCTTGGAGCACAGGTGCCGTCAGCCCCGGGACCTGACAGGTTGTCCTGAGCCCCCGGACGTCCCCCCGCTGTAGGGCAGACCTGCCCGCACACGCGCCCTCACGCCCGCGTGCGAGCAACAGGCGGAGGAGCGGCCCTCGGCCCGCAGCCCCACTGCCTGCCTGCCGCTCCGAGCCGGGTCCGCGCGCAGCGAGCGCTTCGCACGGGGTCGAGGCGCCGGCGACAGAAGGACGAGGAGCCCGCAGCCCGCGGGCGCCGCCTTCCTCCCCCACCCCCGTGGGGACCGGCCCTGTCGCCACCCTGCTCAGGGAGCTGGCATGTAATTCCGGCAGCTTCCGAAGCCTGCACTTAGGCTCCCGCGACGCCCTCCTGGGGGTGAGAGCTGACCGTGGCTCCTGCCACCGCCTGCCCTCTCTGAGGCTGGAGCTCAGAGCACGTCTCCCTGGCCAGCCCGTGGGAGGGCACGGGGCGTGCGGCCGAGGCCTCGCCTGGACACCTTCCCAGCGTCACGGAGCCGCCGTCCTGAGGGGCCGGGCAGCCGCCAACATCCCTAACCGAACGGCCAGCCTCCAGGAGGCACCTTCAGCTAAGGAACCGTCACTGTTCCCACTGAACTAGTCTGACGTCTGCAGAGGCCGCTTGGCGGGAAGCATCTGCACTTGATTCTAAAGGGGAGGGAGTGCACTTGAAAAATCAAAAATGCGCAGGACTGGCCGGGACACGGCCGCCCCCCGCCCCCTCGCCCCCGTGCCGACACCTGGGGTCTGGCGCCCGTGGAAGCGTCGCGGCAGAAGCCAGAAGAGGGCGGGCCCTGCCGCCTTGGGCTTCGGGCTGCTGAAGTGACTGCCCCTCCCGGGCGGGAGCGGCAGGCCCAGGGCCACCCGCACCAAGTCTGTCTTCCCCAGTAAAGTGACCGCGGTGAACACAGCCCCCCCCCCCCCCCCGGACACAGTCTCGGCGAGGCCTGGGAGCACGGCCCCACGCGCCGGCTCGTTCCGAACGTGAAAAGCGGCGCACTCACGTTCTGCTCCACGAGCGCCTCCGCGGGGCACCCCTTCTCAGACTGCAGGTACTTCTCGTGGAACAGCTTCCCGTCAAACACGGCCCAGGGCACGAGCTCGCTGGCCTCCCAGGGGAAGCCGCACGCGCTGTTGACCAGCACCAGCGTGGTCAGGCCGCGGACCAGCAGGGAGCCCAGCTGCACGGCTCGGGGGTCAATGTGATCGAGCTGTGGAGACCAGATGCACGGAAGTCAGGAGACGCCACACAGTGGGGGACAGGGCCCCGTGCCTCCACGCCGCCACCTCGGCTCAGAGCGGACACTCGGACACAGTCAGGGTCACGCAGGGACGCGGGCGCAGGCGGCACGCAGGCCGCTCAGCTCCCCGGCACAGAGTCAGGGCTGCCGTCTGGCCTAGCTCCTCCTACAGCTTTGCTGATCTGGCAGGACTCGGCCCCGCCGTCCGAGAGGTGAAGCCCCACAGCCACACCACGAGGACAGACGCAGCCCGGCTGAGCGCCGGCCGCGGCCCCTGAGCTGCGGTGAGCGGTGACCGGTACCTGCAGGCCCGCGAGCTGCCCCGCCGACTTCCCCTGGAGGCACAGGGCCTGTGCGATGAAGGCATGCAGGTCCTCGAGGCCCAGCGTGTCCACCTGCAAGGGGGGGCGGGGGCAGCGTTGGCGGGGGCTTGGGGCCTTTGCCATGGACGCGGGGGTGGTCAGAGGGCCGCCCTGGGCAGAGGCGCCTGCTTATGCTCTGGCAAGGCACAGAGTTCCAGGTGCTGGGAGGGATCGGAGTCTTGGAGACACAGGTGGCCACTTCTGGCACAAGTTTTGGGAGCTGGCAGCCCAGGGGTGAGCAGACAGAGTGCCCGCGGCGGGCCAACCGGGAGGCCCAGGGCCACATCCAGCTCCACCCTCCGAGTCCCCAAGGCACCTGTGCCCTTGGATCCCCGTGTGACGGGAACCAGGGTCCCAGGGAGGAGCCCCCACAGATCCTCCGTGGAGCGAAAAGGTCCACGGCAGCGCAACAAGGAGAGGCCGAGACCCGGGGAAGAGGCGGGTGGGGAGGTGAGGAGGGGGCCCTAGAGCCAGGGGACAGGGCCAGCGCGCAGAGTGGACGCAGGCACCCCGGGCCTCCTCCTCACAGACCCGCCAGACAACCGTCCCGTCACGGGACGGACCTGGAGCTCCTCGGAGAGACCCGCGTCCGGCGGTGGGACAGGCCCGAGGACGGACGCGTCTACCCTCTGACCGTCTGGGCCAACCCCACAAGGGCGTCGCCACCGGGCGCTGACTCGACAGCGGGGGGAGGGGGCAGCCCAACGCCCTAAAGCTTTGGAAGCCGAACCCAGGGAAGGCAGGGCTCCAGGCCCAGGCCCCACGCGCAGCGCGCGTCTCAGTCTGACGCAGACGGGCTTCTCCTCCGTGTGGCACGCGGGGCCGCCCTGGAGCCTGAGGGCTTTGCACGGAGCTCGTGACGAGGCAGTGGACAGAGGTGGCGCCGCACCCCCCACGGGACAACAGGAAGCGGGAGCGGCCGAGTAGAGACCGCCACAGCGAGGTTACCTGCACGAACAGGTAGACGAGGAGGCAGCACAGCGCCCGGAAGGGGCTCTCCAGGGCTTGCAGCTCTTCCCTGCAGGAGGAGAGGTCGAGGCAGGCGAAGAGCGTGTCCACACGCCGCGCTTGGGCTCCGGGCTCCCGGCTCAGCCACAGCTGCTTCAGACTGGGCGTCCCCCCTGGACCAGAAGACCCGCCCCGGTCCCCAGCATGACTCTTTGCATCAGCAAGTCATCGCGTCCTGGCAGAAGGACAGCGAGACAGCAAAAGACAGGAGCCACCACCTCGCTGACGTCTCTGGGCTTCAAGGCTTGAAGGGACCCGCGGGAAGGCCACCGCCCCTGCCCTGCGCTGCAAACCGCCTGCCTCTGGCATCCGGAGGGGGATGAGGGCTCCCCTCCTGTCCGCCCTGAGCCCCACGGGGTTGAGGACACATTGCAGAGCGTGTCCCCAGGTGCTGTCCTTGGGGGTGAGCAAGGTGCCGGACACCGTCGGGGGCTGGGCTGAGACGCCAGCCCCCCGCCCCCGGTCCCCCTGCCCCCACCCCTGCCTGGTGGTCTCCGAACTCCCAGCAGCAACAGGCCCCCCTGCTGCGACTGTGAGGCTCTGGCCCCGGCTCTGCCAGCCGTGGTGCAAGAGATGCACACCGGCTCCCTCGGGCCCCTGGCTCCGGAAAAGAAATCCCTAATATGTAAGTTGTGTGCTTTGCTTTTGTCTCTTACACATGCATTTACATTATTAAAGTTAAAACAACAACGCCCTGGCTGGTGTGGCTCAGTGGACTGAGTGCCGGCCTGTGAACCAAAGGGTGGCTGGATCTGGTCGGGGCACAGGCCCGGGTGGCGGCCAGGTCCCCAGTCAGGGGCGGGCGAGAGGCAGCCACACATGGATGCTTCTCTCCCTCTCTGCCTCCTTCCCCGCCCCCCTCTAAAAATAAGTAAATGAAATCTTTTAAAAAAAGAAAAAGAAAAGGCCTTGCTCAGTCCCTTAGGTCATGAGAACCGGTGGGCGTGGGGACTCAGAGGCGCTGGGGCCGTTCAGGAAGACGCTGCGGCCAGCGCCTGCGTGCTCCCTTCACTGTGTTCTGAGACGCCCCCCGTGAGGGGAACTTATTTTTCCAGGTCGAGCAACTCTCCATTCATCAGCGGGGAGAAGAGGTGACAGGAGCAAGGTGTCAAGAACCGCCCTGGGCGCTCGGTGGGTCAGGCCCGGGCGTCTGGCGACGAAGGCCGCGGCCGCTCCTCCCCGGGGACCTCGCGGTCGGCAGCCGCGCAGAGCCAGCCGCAGGTCCCCGCAGGACTGCATGCTCCTGCCTCCCGCCCCCTTGCCCCCAGGAACAGAGGCCCCTCGGGGCCCAGGCTGCCACACCCACTAGCGCGCGTGCAGAGCGGGGAAGCCTGTGTCCACAGCAAGTCCGCGGCCACGCGCCTGCTGAAGCGAGGGCTGCTGGTACCTGGGACGGTCATCGGCAGAGGCCTGACGAGGTCCGGGTGCCGCAGCGGGTTCCCAGCGTACACGAACCACTCGCGGACGGGGGGGCAGCTGCCAGGGCCACCTGAGCAAAGATGGGCGTGTCAGCAGGTGCGCGCGAGGGCCCCGCGTGCCCAGGCTGACAGGGAGGGCCCAGCGCTGCCTGGGCCGTTCCAAGCGGGTGCCCCGGCCTCCTGCCCTCCCCTCGCCCTCTGAGGCAGGCCAGGAGCGCCAGCCCCTGATCACGGGCGCAGGGACAGGTGACTCAGACCCTCAGCAGGCCTCCTACCCCGAGGGGGGAGGGCAGTACAGAGGCCCGAGCTGCTGGCGTCCTCCGGGGACAAGCTCGGTGGCGGGGGTCGCACCCTCGCCGGGAAACATCCCAGGCGGCCCCCTGGAGGCAGCGGCAGCTGCCCGCGCCGTCGGAGCCCAGGGCCAGGGCAGGCACTGCGCGCTCTCCCCAGAGCAACGCCAGCCTGTTTCCCTGGGAGCCCTGGAGTCCGGTGCTGCGTCACTGCGGAGGCGTCAGTCTGTCCTCGCTTTGAAAACATGGCAGAAACGCCTGCAGTAATTTGGTTTGTGTGAATGCAGAGGAAATAATCGGAATGTCTGCGTATCAAGAAAAAGAGAAGAGGAAACAGAGTCGGGGAACTCCCAAAATAAAAGGCTGCTTTTTCTCCCCGGAGCTTCGGACTGGTTGGGCTCTAGTTCAAAGAGCGAAGTAAAACTCAAGAGCTCCCTGCTAGTCCCACTCTCCCCCGCGCGGGGACGTCACCCACGCAGGTGGAGGAAGGGCCTGGGCCTGCTCCGGTGGCGCCCACAGGACACATCTCCTCGCAGAAGCCGAGGCGCGTTTCCCTGGGAGTGAACGGCACCCACAGAAAGCCTGCGGGTCCCATGACCACCAGCCCCGAGGGGCGGCCGCTCTCAGAACCCGGGTCACGCGCGTGGGGGCGGGGGGCTGGGGTTAGGGGTGGTCGCACGGGGCAGGGGAAGGAACATGGGCTTGAACCTCTCAATTACTGGGATTTCCCAGTTTGCAACAATCCTCGAGGCTTTTTAAAAAACGCCTTTGTCCTTATGGTTCTGTAGTGTCGTTACAGTGCTGTTTTGTCTGAAAGTGTCCATGGTCACTGTAAAGAACAGAATAACTCCCCATTCTTTTCTGTGTACAGTTTTCAAAAACGGTACCTTCTAGGTCAGTCTCTAGGATTTTGGCAAGTGCACGGCTGGCCAGGTGCGTCGCGAAGGGGCCACCCTGACTGGACACTGACTGTTCGCCTGTGGGGCTGGGTCCCCACCGCAGGACCGGCGGCCCGCCCTGACCCCCCAGGATCCCAGAACACAGCGCCTGGGTCACGGTCACCGGCAGCGGGGCTCCGGGTGCCTGCCGAGCTGACCCTTGGCCGGGCTCAGGCTGTGCTCTCCGGGTCAGGGCGCGGCTCTGGGAAGCGGGGCCAGGCCACTGCAGGGGCTCCCACGCGCAGAGGCCGCAGTGAGCTCCGCGCACTTGGGCCCTCGGGAGCGGGGGTTCCTGCAGACCCACGCTCGCCAACCTTCTGGGCCCTCAAAGAATCAGGCGCGAACAAGAGTCAACATCCTTCAGAGCACCCACAACTTTCTTGCATATGGTTATAAAATACTGGATGTGAACACACGGAGAAACGGGGGGCCCACTGTGAGTACAAAAGTCAATAAACAAACACCGGCTCGGGAATGACCAGGACGGTGGAATCAGCCGAGAAGGCCGTGAAGAAGATACAGTGAACACAGGGAAGGGTCTGAAGGAAACGGCGAAGACAGGGAAGAGGAAAAGGTAGGCGGCTCCACTGGCCGGAGTTCTGTCCTGGTGCCACGAGAGGCTGAGGGTTCGATGCCCAGTCACGGCACGCACCTGGGTTGCTGGTTTGGCCCCCGGCCGGGGTGGGCAGGGGAGGCAACGGATCGATGTTTCTCTCTCCCATCAATGTTTTTCTCTCTCTCTCTCCACCCCCCTTCCTCCCTGTAATCAATAACTACATCCTCAGGTGAGGATACAAAAATTGCGTACCTTTCAAAACCCCGCACCCGAGATGGCACTCTCACTGGGCGAGGTAACAGCGGACCGGGTGCGGGGGAGGAACGGCCTGCTGGGCGGGGACTCGGAGCAGCAGCCGCGACCCCGAGGCCGGGCCCGGTGCCTGAGGGTCCCTCGGGGGCAAGCCACGCAGGTAAGTGACTGGGGCCCAGAGCGACAGGTGAGAGAGGCGTGGACAGAAAGCAGCATTTGAAAAAACGGCACCTGATTTTCTCCAAATTTCACAGACTATATAAACTCAGAAAGGCAAGCAGCTCAGGAACCCCAAGCCCGATCAGCGGAGAAAGCCACGCCGAGGCTCAGCCCGAACAAGCTGCCGAGAGCCGTGGTTGGCGGGAAGCCTGCGGGGAGCGCCCTGGGCACGCGCAGGCGCGGCTCCGATGAGCGCCGCCGTCGCCGCCGAGGAACGGCGGGAGCAGGGACGGCGTGAGGACGCGCTTCACGTGCTGGAGCCGGCAAAATCATACTCTCCCGTAGAGCTCCTTCCGGAGGAAAACCCAGGGAAATAGAATGCGCACGACCAGAAGCGCGCAAGCACGTCCTTTCGATGCGCCGAGGTGGCCCCCGAGGCGGCCGGCCCCACACAGGACGCGGGGGACCCTGCGAGGGCAGGCGGCTGCTGGCAGGACGAGAGGGGACGTTCCAGCCCAGGGCCGCGCCGGGCCTGTTCGTTTCCATACAGCCAGACAGTTGGCAACACTTTTTACACTATTTGAATGAATGGAAAATTACCAAAAGAATGTTCTGTGACACTGGGAGATTATATGAAATTCAAATTTTGTGAACAGGACAAGGAGAGAACGGCCCACGGCACCCAGCCACACCCCCTCATGGTCACTGACGCGCCCCTGGGGGCACCGACGCTGCGGGGGGCCCACCCCGAAAACATCGACCACTGAGCCCTTCCCAGAGCAACCTTGTTTGAAGCAAAAGTAAGGTCCTGTATTAGGGGGTTTAAAATCGATGCGTGACCTCGTAAGGTTATACACAATGAGCTTCCATTTATGTAACATTCTCAAAGCGACCGGAGCACAGAGACGGAGGACGGACCAGCGGGGGCCGGGGGCCGGGGGCCGGGCTCACAGCGGCAGTGCAGGGGAGCTCCCTCGTGGTGAGGGGCCGCTCCGCATCCTGACACGCGGGCCACACGCACAGCTCTGCGAGGTGGAGCGGAAACGGGGGGCTTCGCCAGGGTGCGCCCGGGCCAGGGCGGCTCGGTGGGCTGGGCGCCGACCCGCACACCACGGGGCCACCAGCTGGGTTCCCCGTCGGGCCCTGCCTGTCCCCGGCCGGTGCCCCGGGAGGTAGTCGATCAGCGTTTCTCTCCTCTTTCTCCCTCCCTTCCCCTCTTTCTGAGCAAAATAAAATAAACACTTAAAAAGTCTTTAAAGAAACAAGTAAGGTCTGTGGCCTGTGGGCACTGATGCCGACTTCCTGGTTTATCTGTGCTTTACCGCACAGGGCAGTGTTGCTGGAGGGGCAACTGTGCAGAATCTAAATGGAGGCCGGTGTGTTATTTTTACAACTCCCGAGAGCATATATTATTTCAAAATAAAAAAGTTTTGAACATATACAGGAGACATAAAGCGACAATAGCAAAAATGAAGGAAACAATGAACGTGCACATAACACGGTACGATTCTCAGAGAAGAATGTTACAAACCCGAGAGCAACTGCTATGAGAAACAGGTGAATGTAACAATCCCCCCAAAAATGTAAAACAAGATACTAAAAATCATTCAACTCATTCAAAAGAAGTCAGAAAAGGAGACAGTAAGGAGAAAAAGAATAAAGAGTAAAGAACGAAACGGGAGACTTAAACCCAATCGCGTCAATAACCACAGTAAATGTAAACGGCCCAGACATTCCAAAGACAAGACAGAGGTTGTCAGACAACATCCCGCTGGGGAGAGGTGCGCTTCACACATAAAAAAACACTTTAAAGGTAAACGGAGAGGAACAGGCGCAGCCGGCAACCATGGGTCGTGCAGGGAGGCCGGAGCGCCCACGTCAGCGCCCGACAAAGCCGGCCTCGAGGCAAAGGGCACCGCGGGTCACTGCGCGGGGAAGCCGCACGACGGCTCAGGGGCCGACTCATCAAGCAGCGTAACCATCCTCAAGCCACGTGCACCTAACCGCAGAACTTCAAAAATATGAGGAACAACAAGCAAAACTGAACATACAGAAAAATCCACAGTAACCCCTGAAGATTCAACACCCTTTTCCTGACAGGAAATCGGACGCAGCCTTGAACAGCCCTGCGCAGGCCCCGGCGTCCGCGGGGATCACAGGGCTGCCGAGCGCGGCAGAGGGGCTCGGCCAGGCAGCGCCCAGAGGGCAGTCCGCCGCCACACCCTCCACGACCCAGCGACACGGCACTTCAGTGTCAGCTCGCGACACACAAAGGCAGGAAGCTGAGAAAGGAAGAAGCAAAACAAAGATCAACCAGGAAGTTCAACGAGACCCGTGTTCCTGCTGCGACGGTCACCCAGTGCAGGCACCGCCCGACCGTCAGGCCACCAACGACGCGCGCAGTTCACGTGTAGAGGTTAGCGGGGCTGCGTCTTTTAACCTCACCCAACGAAGCACAGCTGGTCCGGGGACACGAGGGCTGGAGCAGGCAGCCCACGCGCACGCGGGCTTCAGGACACGGCCGCCACAGCCCGGAGCCCCACTGCGCAGGGGTCGGAGCCCACCGAGGGCCAGGCGTGGTTCTGCGTGGGCTTCTGACTCCGTGTGGGGGTGAGGCCCTGGGTCCCTGAATTGTTGTGATCAAGGGTCAGCTGGACTCTAAAAACAACTCCAGGCAAAAATTATTCTATACTGTAAATTTTTTTCATGATGAAAATACATTTTTTAATCTTTGTGTGCAATCATTCATGTTCAGAAAGAATACGGGGAGAGAGCTATATGAGAAAAAATCAAACAATATTTGGTGCCGAAGCTTATTACATGGGTTCCTTTGTTTCTGCTTTTACATCAGCTTCTTTCCCATCACCTGTCACATCAGACCAGGATGGGGGCCGGGGGGTGGTCGGCCAGTCTCGGGCGAGGGAGGCCGTTCCGCTTGGCATGTGAAGGGCCTCCCAGGCCAGGCCGCTGCGCTGGCCACTGGCGTCCTCTCCCTACACTACGGTCGTCTCTGCAGACGGACGGACAGAGAGCGGGAAGACTGGGAACCTAAACAGAAAAAGAGCCTACAGGAAAATTCTGTTTGTATTTTAAAGACACCGACACTCCTACAGGAGGAAAGGGTTTTCACAGTTTCAAAACCACAGGTCCTTTGAAGGCACAGACTATAACATTTTATAGAAATAACGCTCCTCTTTTTAACGACCTCTGACCAACCCCTGGCCGGTGAGACGCAGGTGCCCGCAGCGCTGACCCCGACGCCCCCGGGTGCCCGTGGCGTCCTCCTCTGCGGGCCTCGCAGAGAACGGCCCGCTTTCACCGTCCGTGCCCTCGCCTGACCCGGGCCCCCGCGCCCGCCGGCGCCCGCGTCGGCACAGGACTCACCTCGGCCGTCTGCCAGCAGGAGGGAGTAGACGCGCTGCCGCACCGGGCGGTAGACAAAGGCCTGGCTGGGCAGGGCCTGGTCCAGCGCGTCCTCCAGGGTGTTGCTGCACTCAACCTCCCCGCTGGTCATGACGTTGTACACCAGGTAGCTGTCCGCCTGGACGTGATGGGCTCTCGCGACCTGCACAAAATTTAGACACAATGGATTTCTCCTTGAGAACAGAAGAGCTTTAAACAGAAACAGTGAGCACCTCGTGCCCCACGCCAGTGCTTCGGAGACTCTCAGCAATGGAACAACTGTCCCCCGAACTCAAGCCGGCGCCTGTGTTCCCAGCCTGGCGCTTTCGTTGCTCCCTGCCCTCCAGCGCCCAAGCACGTGCCAGGCTCACCGACGCCCCGGCAGGGCCCTCTGTCCACCCGAGAGGGAGGCTGCTGGGCAAGGCTCGCCCCCGCACCGTCCACAAGCACAGGTCCACCCGCGGCCCTCGCCCAGGCCTCTGAACGGCTGCCACAAGCTCTTCGCCCGCCGAGGTCCGGTGGGAGGCCTCACCCCTGGCCCGCACAGAGCCCGCCGCCAGCAGGCACGCCCCCTGCAGCAGGGGCGCTCGCCCCCCTGGCCTCACCCTCCCCATAAGCCGCCTGCACCCCCCACCGGGGCTCCTGGCATAGCAGCACCCTTCAGAGGGTGGTTTTCTCGTCTGCTCTCCCCGCCGACCCACACGCTCCTTGGGAGAAGTCGCCCCAGGCACCCCCGTGCTCACCAGTTTCCTACAGAGCGACGGCCGTGAGCTGAGCCCACGTTGGCGCCTGCCTTGCCATGCCCGGTGGCCGGGCGAGCAGGCGCGTGGCTTCAGCGGCTCCATGCTCTCGCTCAGTAAGAACCGCACATCGGAAGGGCTCTGCTAACCTGTGCGCGGGTGCTACCTCCCCGGGGAGAACACCCTTATCACTGCAGGAATACATTAACCTGCAGGGCCGTCCACCACGTGAATACAAACGGCCCACAGCGGACGGCATTTTGGGGGATAATTTGGAATATCAAAACCGGTGAATCCGGCTGTCTCCTTACTTACACACACGAGTTACGCTAATTCGGCATTGCCGACGTGGGGCTTATCTGTGTATGCCTCACTTTCTTCCTATATAAAATAGATTTAATTAAAAGTGCCAACAGCACAAAGCCACCGTGAGGGCCGAACGCAGCAGCTACGGGACGCGTGGCCCAGCACCTCACGCGCACCGACTCTTGCTGTGAGGCGGGAGAGACGATGACCTGATTCGTTGCTAAACTTTCTCCAAATCGACAGCAGACAGGCCAGGAGCTTTAAGATCAGGAAGGCTTAAAAAAAAAGATTTGTAAGAGCTACCGCCTGATATTCTAACCCACTGAAGATGCTCAGAAGCGACCTATTTCTCCATGGGCTCCTTCCGACACAGACTCTACCGGGAAGGGGAGCCATGCAGCTGACGACCCTTCAAGGCTGCAGCTTCTGATTTATTTTCCTACTCCCTCTTCCACCTTTTTGGATTCTTTGTATTTCAGACAAACTGGTATTCTGACCAATTTATCTAAGAAATTATAAATTTTATTTACCCTACCGAGAAATCTTAAATTTTGGCAACTATGCAGAGTTTGAGATGTAATGTTCTTGTGGGTGTACGAAGGGTTTTCAATTAAGTTCTCTAACTTGTCATTTCAGTCTATTAACTAGCTTGGTATTGTCCAGTAAGCAGCTCTCATCTCTGCCCTTCACTGTGGGTACAGTGCTCGGTACTTCAAAACCCTTAACACGTTCCCCCAGTTCACAGCGGCCGAGGCCACGGGTGGGTCCTGCCAGCGGGGCAGCCGCCAGCCCGGGCTCACAGAGTGGAGCCGAGCCCGGGGAGGACACAGGCGCGGGCCACGCACAGATGGGGACGGGAGCGTGTCGGGAGGCGGCAGGAATGGCAGGGAGGGCTGGGGCGGCGGCGCTGCGGGCACCAGCAGGGGGCCATGCCACGCGCCTCCACAGCTCTGCTCATGGCCCCTCTGCCTCTGTGACTCTCCCCCCCGGCCCTCAGGCTTCCCGGGTCGCCTCGGAGGCCGCTGCACCCCCGTGCTTCCAGGCTGCCGACCACGGCGGTCCCGGCTCGCTCTCCAGGGGCTAGGGGGGCCTCCAGACAAGCAGGGGAGGCGGGTGCGATCTTCCGGAGTCAAACTCGCAGCCAAAGGCTTGGGCTCACACAGGGGTTGGCCAAGTCCCAGTCTGTGACGCACACACGATGCCTGTGTCCCCGCGTGAGAAGGGAGAGGAGTGCACCTAGCAACACAGCTGCGTGCGGATTGAGGGGGGAACGTGAGAAATGACAGTTACAACCAGCTACCTACAGAGGCGCTGATGGAGTCAGCTCTGCATGGTCGACGCTAAACCAGGCTTCCTCCAGCCAACCTGCGTGTCAGAACCGGAAATACCGCAGCCAGCCCGGAGCTGGCTTTTCTTGGGGCGATCCCTGCACCCCTTTGCATGTTCCCAGCTCTGAGCCAGGACCCAACCGTCCTCCCACGCCCGGCAAGTGGCCGTCCGGGGCTCCCCTCCGCCAGCTGCCAGCCGCTCCCATTCGTCCTTCGCGGAAGGAAATGCTTCCAGGTCGAGCAACTGTCTGAACTCCTGAGTACTGTTTCACCTGGAACTCTCCTAAAGCAGGCATTCTGTTCTGGTTTTATCACGATTTCCTCTGCTAACACAGTAGCTTATTTGCTATAGCGTATGTGACAGAGGAAGAGAGAATCTCCAAAGCTAAAGAGAAAGGGAAGACACGCTCCGTCCAAGGTCCAAGGAGGAGCCGCTACCACGCGGACGGCACAGCAGGCGCCGGGGTTCGGTGGCGGGACGCGAACCAGGCAGACACAGCAGAGGCGCCGCGGGGCTCGGGGTCTCCTCTGAGGCTCAGACAGGAAAGACCGGCGGCCAGCAGGCGGGCAGGACGGCCAGAGACAAGGGGGTGGCGCAGCCAGAGGTGCGGGCGGCAAGGGCGGGGGCCTTGTTCAGCGGCGGTTTCTGCCCCGAGGGCAGGCCTGAGGTGCAGGCCGGGGATGGGCTCTGCTCACGGCACGGCAGGTGGACTGGCCGGCCGGAGCCCGCCTGGGAAGAGCCTTGACGCCTGCCGCGGCGTCCAGACAAGACGGCTTGGCCTAGAGTGCAGGACATGGGGGGCTGCTCGAGAAGAACGGGGGGCTAACTCATAGGTCCATGACGGGTAACTCCGTGGGGTGGCGATGCCCCGGCACAGGGTCTCCCGCGGCAGCGGTTGACAAACGGTGCTCCCCCATCAAAACCCTAAGGGCTCCGTACCACTTTCAACATCAAGGCCAAACTCCTGGTGTGGAATTCAGGAACTTTCACGGTCTGGCTGCAGTCCACCTGTCCTGGATTGTTCGCCCTACTTCTCCCCTTACACCACCCCCTCCGGCACGCTGTCCTACCAGGTGACACAGGTTCCAAACGCTATACCCTTCTGCCCCCTAACCTCCGAGTCTTCGCCTGTTCAAAGCACCCATCAGCCCCTCTAAGGTCTGGCTCCACTGCCACCTCTCCTGGGGCTTCTCTCTGTACCTTAACCCACAATGACCTCGCTCCTCAAATTCCCAGAGCTCCCTCTGCAACACTCGTGTGACAGCATCAGGTGTGGTTGGTCGTCCTGGCCAGTGCAGCTGGGTTGGCTGGGTGTCATTCCGCAAACTGGAGGACCACAGCTGCAGTTCCTGGGCAGGGCACAGGCCTGGGCTGCGGGTTCGGTCCCCAGTCGGGACGCATTCAAGAGGCAACAGAGCGATGCGGCTCTCTTGCACATCGGTGTTTGTCTCCCTTTGTCCCTCCCGTCTCCCTTTCTAGATTCAATGAAAGAAAAACTTTTTAAGGACGTGGTTTCTACTCTGAGTTTTCCTGACTTATGTCATACTTCCCAACTAAACTCCCAGGGTCCTGCTCTGTCCCTGCAGAGCCTCGACCCCTGCAGGCAGTCAGTTCTCCTGAGCCCCTCGGTGGGTGTGTTTTTCAATCAGGACACAGTAGATTTGGGTGGGCATATCTACATACCTGTAAGATTTCAGGGTCTGAAACCATGGTTACTGGCTGCTTGGTTTCAGGCTCTATATTCATGGGAATGTCTTGCTTGGACTCAGTGTCTGAACTCACGGGAACTTCTTGCTTGCATTCAGGGTCTGAACTCCCAGGAACTTCTTGCTTGTCCAAAGTTGTTACAGCTTTGGGTTTTTGGGAAATCCATGGAGATTTCTGTCCTGGCAAAAGGTACGATGCCATTGCTTTGTAAAAGAGGGCTTTGTTTGGTCCCAGAGGCAGCATCTCTTCCAGCTTCTTCTCCCCTCGGTGCGAGCGCAGGACCTTGGCGATGTGGTCCGCCACAGCCAGCACGACGCCGCCTCTCCGGTCGCAGCCCTCGCTCCCGGCGGCGTGGGCGGACAAGCACCTGTACCGGAAGGCCTCGAACATGCCCTGGGGGACTATGTCATTGCCCAGCAGGCAGGCCAGGAGGGGGAGGTCCGGCAGGCCGAGGCCCAGACTCGCACAGAGCCGCTGCCTGCAGAGCATGACGGTCGTGAGGCTGTCCAGGCAGAGCTCGCTGATGGAGAAGTAGGGGCAGGTGTCGTAGACCAGGTAGTCGGTGTCCTCCCCGAGGACCCCCAGGCAGGCGTTCCGGAGGCCGTAGGCGGCCACCTCGCGGTCGGCCTCCTGCAGGGTGCACCGCGTGTCCTGGCCCAGGGCCTTCAGGGCGAACCGCGTGAACAGGGCCAGCCCCGAGGGGATGAGGAACATGCTCCTGCTGGGCTGCTGCCCGTGCGCCTTGACGTACTGGAAGACCCTGGCTATCTCCCTGCTGTTCTTCAGCCTCCGTCGCACCCACTCCTCGCGCTTGTCCTGCTCCACCGTGCCGTCGAAGAAGAACACCAGCTTGATGCCTGCGGCGGCGAACGTCCCCACAAAGTCCCGCAAGACACAGAAGTACTCCTTCCACTGGCCGCCGCAGACCCAGGACTCGGGCGTGTACCAGTACCTGAGGCAGCACATGGCGTCGACCACCACGGTGGGGGCGCAGCCCGGGCGCTCGCTGCGGTGCCGCTCGGCCAGCTCTCGCAGGTCCACCGCCGCGCACACGTGCGGGCAGCTGCTGCCCACAAACCCCTGCAAGCCTCTCACGCCCATGGCCAGGCTCCGGGAAGGAACTGCAAGGGAAAGCAGCCGTCGTTAGGGCGCTCGGGGCAGACACGCGGCGCCTCGCAGCCTGCACGCACGCCACGGCGGGAGGTCCGCGCTCTGTGACGGGCCCAGAGGGTCCCGTCGAAACACGGAGGGACGCCACCTAAGCTGGCCTCCCACACACGTGGACCCCCGTCCAGACCCGAAGGGCGGCACACAGACCTTCCCTGCTGCGGAGCAGTTTGTGTTTGTGCCGCCCGAGACGGCGAACCACGCTGAAGGGAGCACTGCCCTCTCTGAAGGGCAGAGAGAGGATGCAAATCTGAAAGCACTCCAAGCGGAGCACTTTATACGAGGTTCTTACACAATAAAAGGTGTAACGTAAGACATGACTGAGCAGGCGACCTCATCCATCAAAGGTCAGAAAAAATTCCAGGATGACGTCTTTCATCTCAAAGGCCTGTGCTTTTCACTATGGTTTTCACAGTTGTCAGGGCTCAGTGTCCTTTGATGAAACAAAACAAAAAGCCTCATTATGCCAAAGGCAGCACGAGAAGGAGCCTTGCTTCTCCCCGAGGACACCGAGGACAGGGCGCAGCAGACAGGCTGCGCCCTCAGGACAGAGACCCCGTCTCCCAGGCGACTCTGACGGGTCACCACCTAGAAGCTCTCACGCGTACGAGGGAGCCGAGAGCCGACGACCGGGTCAGGAAAAGGCGCCGGCACAGGGTTGCCCCTTGAGAACGCGCTGCCTGTCAGGGAACCCTGGCCCCAGCAGCAGAACTTGAAGTTGCCCGTTTACTGGCTGTTCCATGAGGGACACACACTAAAGGCGAGTGGATGCAGGTCACACACACCTGAGTTGAAATTCGGAGAGGCCTTGCTCACTGAGTTACTAGCTGTGAGGGATGCCCGGGTGCACACACCCCGCCCCTGCAGAGCTCTTGCGGCGGCGGCGGCGGCGGCGGCGGCGTCTCCCAAGGCCACGCCACAAGACCAGACTTTACAATGCGACCACCTCAACTCTACGGCTGTTGTTGGACCTCCGGGCACGGCCCTGCGTGGAGGAAGGTGACGTGCCGTCTCTGCGGCGGAGGGCAGTTCTCAGGCCACGCCAGCGGCGGGCGGGCTGGGTCTGGGAGGGGGGCCTGAGGACGCGAGGACGGTGCCAATGCGCAGGCTGCTCCAATTCCGGGCCACCCTTCTGTGCCTCGTTTTGGACATCGCAGCCTTACGAGGTTTGTGGATGAGCGCAACAAATCTTACAGGTTGTAGGGGGGTGTGACTCAGTTTCCATTTCTTACCAGGCTCCTGGCTGGGTGCTGCAGACGCCCCCCAAGTCCCCCCGCAGCCGGTGGGCATGCAGTCGAGTCTGCCCCCCGCCCCCGCTCCCACGGCCGGTCCCCCTTTGTGCAGCGGCCAGGCCACGTGCGAGTTGGCTGCCTTCCCTCACCAACAAAAAGGGATTTTTGTTTCCAGCATTTTTCTACTAAAACTGCAAGTGACAACACTGAGTTCCCCAAAACACTCTCTTCTTTGTTTTACAAGGAGTCGGGCTCAGCTCTGCTTTGATTTCATTCAAATGTTTTCCCTCCTTTCTCGCCCCCGTCCTGAAAAGCTCACTATTTTAATTAAACGCGCGCTGGTCCTTCCTGCCGTTCGTTCGCGCTGCCCGTGTCCCCCACGCTGAACCACAAATCACCTCGGAACGGCACCTTACGGCGTGTCCATCACGCCCCGGAGGGGCACACGCGGACACGCAGGGGCCGGGGGCTGACCTCGGGGGCCCCCCATGTTCCGCGGCAGGCCGCCCCCCGCGAGCCGCCCGCCCATGCAGGCGGGGCGGTGGGAAACAAAACGCTTCGAAGTACAATTTTGTGGACATTACCTTTTTAAACAATTTTTTTGTTGTTTCTTAAGCCTTTGATCCTACCTGCACATTATAAGGAAATTTTCACTGCTTAAAAAGAGAACAGCAGCTCTACCTCATTTGGTAGGAGTCTCAGTCCCCAGCATACAGCCTGGGAACCTCTCTGGGGCAGACACGTCCCACGGCCGCGTCCCCCACGCCCGGCACGTCTGCCGCGTGAGGGCCCGGAGTTTGGGAACAGACGGACGGATGGAGGCAGGGGTGTGACCAGTGGTCAGGAATCCCCAAGTTCAAGGATCCAAACCGGCAGAGGAGGGGCCAGAAGTGGAGCCACTGCCCTCGGGTGGCATCACAGCTGGGCTCTCACGGGAGCGGCCAGCAGCGCACGGGAACCCCCACCCCACCCCGCAGCCTTGCTCCCGGGGACAGCTCCGTTCTCCGGCTGCCACCTGACCCCACGGGCTGGGCTACCAGTAAAACGAGGACGTCGGCAGAAGACAGGTGCATCCAGAGCCGCCTCATTCCCAGCCTTTCAGCGACGGGCTGGGGAATGGAGCCGCCCGCCCCTGCAACGACACACCCACACGACCTGCCGCCCCCAGGAGGGGCCGACGCATGGCCTGAGGGACTCGTGCGCAGCCGCGAGGCCTGCCCCACGTGCGGGCCAGCACCTGCAGGGCCGGACCAGCGGCTGCAGCCGCCCTCAGACATGCCCCGCGGCCTCGGGTGTCAGAGTGCCCGGTGCAGAGGGCGTGGCGCAAGCTGGCGTTGCAGACAGGCAGGTCGGTGCCCCACAGAGTAAGAGAACGTAGCCCTAGATTTACTGTTAGCAAATAACATGAACCTCCAGACAAAAATCTGTAACTTAACACGCAAGGTCAGCGTCTGGGCTCAGATCAAGAGTACAGGGGACACCAGCGGTGCGCGCGTTAGAGCCGACCGGTGCCCGGTGGCTGCGGGTGACACCCGGCCCTCTTCGCTCGGTGCCCCCAAGTCTTCAGGGGTCCCCCGCCGGCTGCCTGCGGTCCTCAGCGGGCCCTCACGACGCCTGCGGGACATCTGAAGGCTGCTGTTTCTTCTCTCCTGTCCTCCCCCGTCCCCTCTCGAGAGATGATCTATGGGGAGCCCTACACAGAAGGGTAAGAACAGGGGCACAGGGTTCCAAGGGACTGACCCCATGGCAGCAGGTGGGGCAGTGCTGGCTTGATGGCGAGGGAGCATTTAGGGGCGCACAGCCAGGTAAGTAAGCTGGTGGTGGCTGCCCACTCCACACGTCTGAGGCCGCCCCATGGGGCCCACTCAGTGCGGACTGACGCTCTCAGTGACTCAACGTCAGGCAGGTCCCCGCGGGCCCTCCGCGGCCAGGGCCCTGGGCTTCCAGGCTCGTCCTTGCTGAGCCCAGCTACAGCGAGACTCCTGCTTTCCATGTGGAAAGGACCCCGACATCTGATCAAACTCTGCCCACCCCGGTTCTCACCGACCCCTCACTCGGCCTTTACGAACCCCCAGGAGTCCTTGCTGTGTGTGGAGCTGAGTCTCATCCTGCTCCCCCCGGGCAAGTCTTGAATAAAGTCTTCTTTACTGTTTTACGTGTCAGAACAAGAAGCTTGTTCCAATGGAAAACGGAACCTGCAGCTATTCCGACGCACTTCACTGTGCCTAGGCTCGCGTCCCGACGCGGATGCCCCGGAGGACCCCCCGCAGCCTGGCCTCCACCTCTGGCGCCCAGTCAGGGCACCGCGGGCGCAGACGCTCAGAGCGGGTGGCGCCCTCTGTACCGTCCTAGGGCGGAGTGGCCAACGCCAGCACTACTGCTGGCAAGAGGGAAGGAAGGCTCTAGAACAAAACCACACTGAGTCGAACTCTAACCTCCATTCCTTACAGGGAAATTCTGAGCAAGTCACCTTATCCTGTGAGCTTTGTTTTTCTGATCCATGAAGCGAGCTTTGTAACATCTGCCTCATCCACTGCTGTGATGTAATTTCACTTAGATTCTAAATTTATTCATCGCTTGCCTAAAGTTTAATAAAATCTGCCCAGCACCAGTCCAAAATCCTTAAATTACCTCAAAATTTAAAACAAAGTCATTTAGTATCAGTGAGGGTTTACTATATTTATGATTTCTATAATGTAGGTTATTTTTTAATATTGGGAGTATATTTGTAAATTTTTTGATTAAAAAAGTAGCCATGTTCTTAGCAGAAAAACCACGAAGACAGAAACTACTCATACGCTCATCTTCCAGCGATAAGGGCTATAACAAATATTTTAGAGTGCACGTTTCTCGCGCTCTTCTACGCTCTGCTTTGCGTCTTGGCCTCCTGGGGACACGTCCCCCCATCAGCGTGTTCGCCCCCTGCGGCGTCACTTTTACAGGCGCACCCCGCGGCGCTGCCGACTGTGGAGCGTGCAGGCCACCTCCCCCACCGCAGGCCCAAAGTGAGAACGCGCGCCACGGCCGCCCCGCCCGGGAGACCGTGTGAGCCCGCTCCGGCCACTCCCTGCGGATGAACCGCGGACGTGAAGCTGCGAGGCAAAGCAGCGGCACGTCCAGGCCATTCCTCTCCAACAGGCTGTCCGGTGGCGGCGGCGCCGGCGCCTCAGCTCTCAGCTCCTCGCCCCCACCAGAGGGGCCTCATCTGGACATAAACCCGGGCTACTCGGTCAGCAGGCAGCTATGCAGCAGGCGCTACCGCAGACACGGAGCCACGTGCAGGACAGACGGCCAGCCCTGCCCTCCGGCAGGGAAATGTCCAACAGGCCACAAGCACTTCAGCGGATGTAGCTGCAGGACAGAGAAGGGCAGAGGCCAGGAACGTGGGGAACACGCAGCCCGAAGACCCAGCCCAGGTCCAGGACCCATGGCGGTGTCCTGAGTGGCCAGACGGAGACGGGAGGCAAGGCAGACGGGAGGCCTCACGCAGGAGTGGAAAGGGGCCAATTTACATCCATGAAGGTGTTTGTTTTATTATTAAGTGGATGTTTCTAAGGTGCTTAAAAATGTCTGTTCTACTTGGTTTAACCTACCACTTTATTTATGTCTGTTCTTCAACATAAAAAATGGAAAAAAAAATCCCCAAATGTTAAGTGTGGCCAGAACCTCTGCATTAAGAAAAGAGGGAGCTGAGGCTGCAGCCAGACAGCGAAGGGACTAGAGACCCCGGGCGTTCACACTTCACCTGCAGGGGGCCAGGGCAGTGCTGGCCTTGGGCATGGCCTTGCAGAAGCACCGCCCTGCCCGCTCCAGCAGGCGAGGGACAGCGGGAGGCGAAGGCCTGCGAGGCTGGAGCTGAAGGAGGCGGCTGCCGGACACCCCACGCCTCCCGCTAGAGCTGCAGGGCCTGTTCCCCACTGCAAAAGACTGAGGGTGGAGAGACGGTGCCCTGCCCCCCCCACCAGAGGCGTGAGAGCTCCTCCCCCACTCGAGCTCGGCTGGGGCTGCTCTGGGGTTGACTGTGCTCCAGGCCCGGTGCTGGCAGCTGCGGACACAGCGGTGAACAGGACAAAGTCCCGTCTAAGACCCGCATCTTTAAAGAGGGCGGCAAAGGCTCAGGGCCAGCCAGGAAAGAAGAAACCTGGGGGTACGTGTGCATACGTTGAAACACATACAATTGCACCCTTAAATGTTTCTTTGAACTTTCTGCACAACATGGCTACAGTTTTAATCAGAAAGCCCCACAGCAAACACCCCCTCTAGTCCCTCTGGCACGTGGTCAGCTTTGCTCGGACTCCACCGCAACGGGCACCTCTGGCAGCCACAGCAGGGAGAGCGGGCGCGCCGGCGGTGTGTGCTGCGCGGTCACCCGCCTGAGGTCGCAGGTGGTGGCAGCGAGGCTGGGGCTGGAGCCGTCCTCCTCCAAAGCCTGCTGCCCTGTCCCTAGGACACACCCCCGCCAAACACTGCATTTCAGCCCAGGGAGCTGTCCCTCTGGCAGGTTCTCATGTCCCAGGGGCCCCAAGAGAACGGCCGAGGCCTCCCCCATCCCCTGCAGCTGGTCAGCCCTTCCCAGGCCAAGGAAACACAACCACTGTCACCGGACACAGAGGAAAACAATGTGTGCAGACCTGTAAAAATCGATGCCTCATTTATTCAGAATTCAGAGTAAGAATCCAATATAAATTTTTAAACGCATGAGTTAAAGGTAGAACAATGTTTCATCAGAGACTTTCTCCGGCTCTGACTTGCCATCTAAGGGCTATTTTTCTATTTATTCTAACGACCCACTCCTAAGCCCAAAAGTACGGAAAGGGCTCGGAGGTCAGGCACGCCAGCGGTGGGAACGCAAAACGCTGACCTGGGAAAGGCCAAAAGATAGAAAAACTTAAAAAAAAACCCAAAGCTGAAAGACCAAAAAACTCCAACCAACTGGGCCACAGCTGTGTCGGTCCTGGGGTCGCGGGCAGCAGCGGTGCGTCTTCCCCGCCAGGTCTCTCCACGGCCCTCGCGTCCCCCCACCCCGTGGCCAGCGTCTCTTCCCCATCATGTCCCGCTGCCGCGAACTCAGACCTCCTTCTCCGTGGGAAGGCGTGGCCCTCCCCACGCCACTATCCAAACCCGACTCAAAGCCTCCCGGTCGGCGGGGACACATCGCCGTCGCTTAAGTTCCGGACCGACGGCGAGCCCGCGTCAACCTTCTGTCCCAGAGCTCCCGGTGCTTGCGCGGCGCAGGCTCGGGGTCAGGGCAGCCGTGACGGGGGCGGGGGGGAGCGCACCACGGCGGCTCGGCGGGATGGCCGTGACAGCCGGGCCGCGGAGGACAACAGAGCTGACCAGAACCCGGCACGCGTCGACTGAAGGGAGGAGGTGGGGGGGACAGAGGCGGCGTCCGCAGGTGACAGGACAGGCGGACCCGGGATGGGAACGGTGGGGTCGGCGGGCAGGGCCGCGGGGGCTCGGACCCGGGGCCGAGGCCCGCCCCCGGGCTCACAGCCGGGGCGGCCGTGACGGCGCAGACCCACGAACGCAGCCAGCGGAGCCGAGGCCGACGGGTGGAGAGCGGCGCCCGGCCCGCGCCAGCCCCAGAGACCCGGCCCTACCTAGAGATGCACCAGCACCGTCTGAGAAACGCCCGCGCCGCCCTCGGCCCCGCTACAGCCACTCGCGCGCTTCCGCTTCCGGCCTGGCGCTTCCGCTCGAGGGACCGCCGGCGCGAAGGTGGGGGCCGAGGCGCGGGAGGAGCGAGGTGCGCAGGCGCCGGGGAAGCGGCGGGCCGCGCACGCGCCCGGGGAGCGAGGTGCGCAAGCGCCGCGCCCGTTGCCTGGGAAACCGCGCCCCGCCGCCAAGGTCGGCGTCCGCGGTCCCCGCTTTCCGCAGGCGCTGGTGGGATAATGCCCCTTTCCGCTCCGGGCGCAGTCCGTGCTGCCGCGTGGAACGGCTGCAGGCGAGTCCCTGACGCCGAGGTTCCGCGGAAGCGTGGCCGGGCGCTGGGCCCCCGCGCGGGTCCGCACTGCGACAGCTCCCGGCGGGGGGCGGGACTGAGGGACGGGCGCGCACCGAAGCCCTGCGGAGCGTTGTCTCGCGGGACGGAGCGTGGACTCTGAGCCAGGTCTCGGCCTTTTGGCGCTGCGGGGACGAGCTCCCGCGCGCTCTGAGGTCAGGTAGCCGTCGCACTCAGCGCAGCCGCCTCCTCCGCCTGCGACGTCTCCCTTTGCTCTAGGTCCAGGAGAACGTCCAGGTAGCGGGCGTGATGGCAGAAAAATAGGCTTGACACCAGCCTCATTTATTTTTAAGAAAATTATTGACAGCTAGTTATGAATAATATCAGGTTAGGGCGCGTCTCACGCTCCCACGCTCACGCACAGCGTGTCTGAGGAGCGCGAGCCCTGGGAGCGGAGGGTGCGCGGGGCGGGAACCGTGGGAGGCGGCCCCTGTAGGGGCCAAAGCGCTTGGCAGGTCAGGCGCTCAAAAGAATCACCAAATGGAAGGGACACCACATGCACGCATTGAACAGTTTGGGAAGGAATGTCTCCATTCGGCATACAAAGATTTCATTTTCTGTTGTTTTATTCCTGGTTGGGCGGCTAGGGTTACACGGAAAGTGTGTGAGAGGGTCTCGAGTCCTAAGGCGCGCACGTCGTGGTGGGGGGGCGGGGGGCAGACGAACGTAAAGTTTAGAAACAAGCGAAGCCTGGGGCTTAGCGTGTGCAATGAAGAAGGTGGCAAGGAAGTATTTGGTGGGAGCTGAGCCTGGACGGAAGGGTGAGATCTGAGACGGGATCGGCAGAGAAGGACTGCTAGGCGGGCAGCACACCTAGGAAAAGGATGGAAGTGGGGTGTTCATGCGGTGGGCGGCTCCAGGCTTCAGGAGCAGGGGCTCAGCTCGCGGGCAGGGGAGGCTGGCGCCCAAAGCCCCCCCGTGGCTCACGTGAGTCCTACCACCGGGCCGCCCTCACCTCCCACAAAGCCTCACTGCCTCCCTTCCAAATGTACACAGATGACCAGGGATCAACAGACATTTGAGGAAGATGGGAAAATATGGGAAAAAAAAACCCAACCAGAAATCACGAGAAAAAAGTTTTATAAAAAATTATTTATAGTCTCTGAAGAGACTATTGCACCCATAACAAAAAGGTATATAAAAGAGCCATCAGAAAATAAGAGCCCAGTAGAGGGTGCGTGAGTGGCAACCCCACATGGATGTTTCCCTCTCTTTCCCCTTCCCCTCCCTCTAAAAATAAAAAAAAAATTTTTTTAAATGACTTGTTTAAAAAAAAAGACATTAGAAGATTAAAAGCTGCAACATCTGAAAATAACAATGACAGGAAAGACAACAGAGAAAATAAAGAGGAAGAAATTACTCAAGAAATAATTCAAGAAAACTTCCCAGGTCTAAAGACATGTTCTCATACTAAAAGGGCACAACAGACTTGAAAAGATCCACACCAAGACATCGTTGCGAAGTTTCAGTGGTAAAGAAGAGATCTTTGAAAGTTTCCATGAGAAAAAAAGAACGTTCACATTTAAGTTACTGGAAATCAGAAACGCATGGGAATTCCCAGTAGAATTTGAGGAGCTGAAATTAATTTTAACATGGAATTCTACTCTCAATGAAAATGTTAGTTAAGCGTGAGGGTAGAATAAATATATTTTCAGGTACGCAGCTCAAAAATATTATCTACCAAATACTTCATTTCAGAAACAGGCTGGAGGATAGTCTCCAAAATTAGGAAGTTAAGAAAGGACTATTTAGGACCTAGAGAGTGGGAGCCTGCCTGAGGGAGAGGAGGGGTCCCAGGATGAGAGCTAAGGGCCGTCGAGGCTGGAGCAGGAGGCCCTGGAGACATACCTTCAGGGAAAGCGACCCATCAAATACCTGGTGCACTTGAATAGTTTAAAAGATCTGCAGACTTTGGTGACAGTCAGTAATAGACACATAGAAAATTCAGTTAGCACCGCGGCTGGTGTGGCTCAGTGGACTGAGCGCCGGCCTGAGAACTAACAGGCTGCTGGTTCGATTCCTGGTAGGGGCACAGGCCAGGGTTGCTGGCCAGGTCCCCAGTAGGGGGCGTTCAAGAGGCAACCACACATGGATGTTTCCCTCTCTCCTGCTCTCTCTAAAAATAAATAAAATCTTTAAAAGATTAAAAAAAGAAAATTCAATAAGCAAATAAATGAAGCCATGGTTGCATTCAGTGAAGACAAAAATTGTACAAAAAAATGTAATCATAGCATAAGCCTCGGCTCTGAATAATGGTTACACAATTTTAATAAGGTAGTGAATGGTGATTTAATGAAAGGATGCTGTAACCATTTTTGAGAAATGGGAGGTGACCTTATGTGTACTCATAAACGTGTGTGTTAGCGGGGACAGAGGCCCTGCCCCTCCAAAATATGGCTTTCGGGATATTGACTTTAAACTGCTTATGAAGATATAAAAGACTCAGAAAGATGCTCTGGCCCTCCCCTTAGCTGCCTAAAGGGACCAGCTCGGAAAACCTGCGCGGGGGAGGAGAGCAGGTCGCTCCGCATCCTGACAGAAACGGAGGGGCCACGGGGAGGAGCCCAGCAGAGTCCGCCCGTTGGACTGCCCTCCGTGCCCCGGGGCACCTGGTGGCCTCGGAGGAATGTGTTCATGGCAGGTGTGTTCCCTCTCCTCTCCCCGCGAGGCACCTGCTTTCCTCTGAAGCCCCAGGTCCCCGCCGCCTCCTCTGTGCAGACCATGCACTGCGCCCTTGGGTCTCCCCTTCGGACGGCACCCCCAACCCCACGTGTCATCCAGAATAAATTTGGGCCACTTTTTCCTGTGGCTCTGTCTCACGTGAATTAGACTATTAGCCCAGCCAGAAGAGCATAGGTGGGAGAAAAGTTATTTTCTTTTTATCCCCACAGTGTCTAGGAAAGTGTGGCGGCGGGGGGAGGGGGCGGTGCGTGGAGAGTTAAACCCTCGTCTGCTGTGGCAGGAAGCCCACAGACAAACCCCACGGCTGAAAAAGACGGGCGAGTGCGAAACGAGAGTTAGGCCTGACGGCACTGGGGGCAGGAACATGCGGCGTGGGAAATCGCTGTTTTTTCTTATAAACCTAGAAATTCTATTTGGATTTTGAAATCTGTTAGTACGTTACTTTGATAAAAGGAAAAAGTTTCAAATGTAGGTTTTAAAAACTGGTTAATTAACCAGTACAGGTGGTTGTAAGTAGACCCATTGTAGCTTAAACCTGAATCTGTCTAAATTTCAAAGGCGTTTTAATTTTTTTTAATGGTGACAATACACTACAGTGAAGGAAGGGAAAAGCCAAGGTTGCTCATGGACCTCTTTCCTGGGAGACTAAGAGTTGTCCATGAACATCAGTGCAACAGGAGGAAAAAAATGACATGTGGTGACTCGCAGCTCGCGCAGAGACGCTTAGCTGTGCCCCATCCTACACGGCAGCTTCACCGGTTTGGGGGGATCTAAAAGCAAGGGATGAAGAATTTGTGTAGAAAGGAAAATGGGGCAGGTAGGAAAGGGGGGAAGAAAGAAAAACTGTAGGTTGAGAGTAGGGAGAAGTTGGGAACTCAGGGCGGTAAAGTGTTGAAGAGACAGAGAAAGGAGACATGGAAAGTAGAGTGAACTGGGGAGAGGGCAGATTCGGGACTGGTTCTCTAGGTGACAAACTGACCCTTTAAATAGCCTTCAAGGTTTATTTGGAAATAAAAGTTAATTTTATTTGAATGCTCAACTGAAGTTCTTTGAATGCAACAACCACATGGTGAACTATTTAAATAATAGTTCACCATCCAAAATGGAGAAAGAAAAAAGCCACAGCCCCAAAAACATACTTCTATGTCGTCGATCCACACTAAAAATGACTAAAGTGTTTTACTGTTGACGAGAAGCATCCTGAAGAAAGAGCATTTCCATCTTCTTCTGCATGTCATCCCGTGTCTGTCTGCGGCTTCCGGGCCCTGCAGGCGTCGTGGGCGGGAGCGAGCAAGGCCTGAGCCCACAAGCCACGTGCGAGGGCAGGGCACACGCCCGGAGGGCGCCCTGGGCCCTGGCCGTGTGCGGGGCCAGTTACCCCAGGCCGCTCTGCCTCCTCATCCCATGAGTTTCAGGAGGTGATGCCTCTTCATTATTTCACTTGCGCGATGAACTTCATTTCTTCATAGTTAAGAGGATTGCATTAGGGTTTTCTGATACTTGGAGCTTCTGTCCATGAAGGCATAACCCCTACAGAGCTTGCTCTTCTGCTCTAAACAACCAGAAAACCAGGCACAATGTGTGGTTTTCTGTGTTCAGATGGTAGAGAATGGGCGGTGAAGGGAAGTCTTAAAAGAAGGAAGACGACAGACAGCCCTGCAGCTGCAGGGCCACGAGGAAAACGCCGACACCGCACGTCGCCCGCGCCGACTGTGGAGGCCCGGGTCACGCCTTTACCCACAGCGAGGGTTAGAAGGAGACGATCTGAGCAACCTCAGCTGATGTGGAGAAATTTCTTGACCCAGTGACCAAACCTGACCAAGGAAGAAATGTGAAAATCTGAGTAACCCTGTATTTATTTATTTATATCAAAGCTGCAAGTAAAAACTTTCCAACAGAGAAAACTCCAGACACAGTTGGACTCACTGGTGAGTTCTCTGGAGCGTTTAAGGAAGACACATTCATCCCAAGCAACCTCCTT